TGCTCGTGGTAGCTGTGTTTTAATTTCCCCAACTTTCTTTTGAAAGTTTTAAAAGTATTCTAGCCCCTATTGGCGTTATAAGCCACATGGCTAATAATTGGAGCAATGCAGTCGAGGCAGTATATCTAGTTTTAGTATAGATCAGAGAGTGCAATGTCAACGTTATTTGTGGTAAAGTAAATTTCCCATGGTAAACGAGGAATAATAGTTTCCGTCCGTTTCCAGGTTTGTTGATCAAAATGTCTACTTTTTCACATTATTGTAGCTTTAGAATTCAATTGTATGCCGTCGAAAGAATGAACGCCATCACGGGGACAAGGAAGTGAAAGAAGAAAAGCTATGAGCGGCATCCACTTGGTTGGCAAGTCATTTGTGAAATTCCGTTCCGAGTCACAAAATACACTACCTAAATTTGATAGTAAGACAGAACTCCACCCTGAGAAGAATTTGATTTCATCGAATAATATTCCAAGTCGTTTTATTGAATTAAACGATTCTGATCACAAAATCAGACACGCATATGATTTGGAGAAGCTCGGAGAATATATCCGTAACATCTTACCAGATAACTCTAGAGAAGTTCAGGTCGAAAAATTGGTCAGAATAGGTAAGAGGACAGACGACAGTGTTGAGCCCTAACCAAATAGACTCTTTAAGGTAATCTTAGGGTTGGAAAAGCAACGTGATAATCCGCTTAGTAGCACTTGTCGTGATATGTCTCTTGAAGATAGAATAACAAGTAAGATGGGACTAGCTGAACTAGAAACCCGTCGGCAAACGGTGAGGATAATCTCTTTTTACTGGGTTTTCGAATGGTCAGATCTTGGAAGTGAATACTATCAAGGCCTGTGTGGATAGGACGTTGTCAATTAGAAATAAATTCTATGAACTAGGATTACCAGTGGACAAATTAAGACTACTCGTTGTAGCTGTCAAGCAAATTTGGTTAGTTCATGATTTTGATATTACTGTAGAATTATCCGGATACCACTGCCTATGAAGTGCTAGACATAGATCTAGGAAAGGAGGTGGCGTCCTTTTGTTCATAGTCAGTAAATATCCGCTCCATTGCTTGTGAATCCCATGACAGTGGAACTTGTGAAGTCATGCTTCGTGACCTCACTATTGGATTTTGTACATTTATACTTGCTGTCATCTATCACAGTCCAATCTTCTTAGCTCTTGACCTCATTTTGGAACGCATTCAACTATGGAGTGCAAACAACAGATGCTTGATATTAGAAGGCTATAATGAACCTGATATTAGCTGGACGGAGATGGCCACGGTAGGATCTTTAAACTACTTTTATAGTGGCTTCAAGATAACTGTAATGAAGCCCAACGACGAGGTACTAGAGTGGTAAAATGTCTCTCTGGCTTATCTTATGAAGACAGACTGAGACACATCAACTTATTTCCGTTAACTTATCACAGATTACGGGGCGATGTAATACTGGCTTATCGTATACTGAACGATGATCTTGGTACTAATATTTCCTATCCTTCTTTTCCGTCTAGGACTGAACATTTCAGATGACATTCTAAGAAAGTTCAAAAACCGAGATCAAATCGTCTAAGTCTAGAGTTTCGTTTCTCACACAAAGTAGTGAATTACTTGAATTCTCCACCTGGAAACGTAATATCAGCACCTTCTGTTGATATATTCAAAAGAGATTGGAACTCCACAGTGTTACAAACTGCAAGGATTAATATAGGTCGATATACCTTCTATCCTTATTACTGAGACTGATATACTGGCGGGCTTTCCAATAGGGTCGTTACACAAATCAAGGTAAGGTATAGTGATAAGTCGTCAGGTCGATTCTATGTGAAAGGAATCAGATTGATACCCTATATTTGTCCTTGGGTTATGGTTTCTCTGTCAAAATAGTGGTGAAACTATAATTTATGAACGACCTTTGAGCGACGCCAGACTGACCTTGAGGGTGTCCACCTAACGACCAGGACTAAATGAAGGATATAAATATGTATCGGTTATTATAATTATAATTTACAGTTTATGGTCGGGGTTAGGAATTAGATTTAGGGTTATCATTATGAACTGACATCAGCTCAAATATTAAGACGCTATTTCGCCAAATGGACGAATGAATTTCGTGCCAAAATCCGAGACCTGTTATCCTAAAAGTAGTCGGTTCTTCCATAGATTATATTCTCGCCACGAACTATAGCTTGACGACGGATAAGTGTAGGTGAGGATAGTGGATTCAAATTTTGAAGCAGAAATTTATTAACATTACCAAATGTATAATTGAGTTTTGCGCCAAAATCTTATGATAACTTATCTTGTAGACGCTTAATTATCATGTTTTCTCTAAAATCCGTTGTAAACCGACCGTACGTAAGCATCAGGTACCGAACTTAGCGCCGTGACCTTGAAAACCCACGAAAGCTTCTGATTGGCTCGTCCATGTTCTTTAGTCTCACCGGTTCTAAAAGTCTAGAGGGTCAGTTCAAGTCCTGAATGTAGCTGATGCACTTTCTTCAACATCTGTTATAAGTCCTGGTTTACCTTGAACATTCCCTGCATTATCTGGCCTGAAAGATTCAAACCTCGTATGTATACATGTATATCATAAACGAGGTGTACATCGCCACAATACCGCTAATCTTCTATAAGGAAATTATTTAAGTCCGTTTTCACACTACTGATTTCTAAAGGAAATTAGGACGAGATAATAGGTATATGGAGGAAGCTAAAAGTTTGTAATCCAGGGAAATATGGTCCAGTAAAATGTTATAAAGAATGATGGGTCCTAAATGGAGAAAAAAATATTCTCGTTACTCTAGGGAGAGACATCGTCTTGTGTGCGACATTTCCGCTTGAAGTCTGGAGGAGTAATTATGGCAAAACGAGTTATAGACTTGTTAGTGGATACTATAATGCCCACAGTCATTATTTTAAATCGTTGATGTGACAAATATACACTAAAGTTAATCAATTTTCTTACTATATCTAAGTACACTAAATGCATCGCATCTAAGAGGAAGGCTAAAGCCATATTATTGTTAGATATTTGAAAATGTGAAACACTTTCATGGTGAATAACTTGGTTCTGTTTATGAAAACTGTCGTCAATTCGTAAAACATGTTCACCGCTGCGAGGAGTCATTTTATCTGCAAGTTATCGTTATCTAACTACATACCTACCATAACGTTCTATCCCATGATGACCAACTGTATACTTGACAGAACAAGCCGGGGCATCACATGACGGCGGTAAGTTTGATAGCTATATACTACTAAGCTTATTGCTACAAAGCCCAACAGATTCTAACTAGATAGAGTAAAAAAAGTCCGAAATTATGACACCTTTACACTCTTACATGCACTCTTACGTATTCTCAATACAATTCAAACACTGGCCGGGAGATCAGGCACTATTTCCCAAAATTGACCCATAATGTAGTCTGCAAAGCTTACCGAAATTTTGACAGGAACCATTATTTTCGTGTTGGTCGGATTCAGTTTCTCTTTTCTGTCCACCGGTTGTTGGGGGCTCAAGTCATGAGCAGCTCAGTGCAAAGTAAATAGATTAATCAATTATTCCATCACTCTGTCATTACTATCCAGAGGCTTTGAAAAAACTTGGCTTCTGGACGTAACAAGAGTGTTGAAACTCTCAAAACAGTCTCTGCCTATGTTAATTGCTAATATAATTACTAAAACCAATATAAGATAATGTCTTTTATAACATGTCTGTCTTGACATCAGCTATATAGCTAATGAAAATGTATCAAATTTTCTGTGTTTGAAGTTTTAGAAATTACTATTTCTTCGTATAACTTTTCATAAATTTATCTTTCACCAGGATTTACAGTTCTTGATTCAGAACACACTGGTGATTATGGTCCTGTTTGGTTAAGACATTGGTTGTGCAATGTTTTCTGACCACTTTGAGAAACGGTGCACACATGTTAAGAATTGGCTTTTCTCCTTTTAAGTGAAAAAGCTTTTCAAAAACTGGACTGCTCTATCTCGTATATTGACCATAGGGAGAGAGGTAGTTGAATGCATCGACACGTTTACTCATTCAGTCTAATTAGTCCCTGTAGTAAGGTTTTTTAAAATATCGTAGAGACTCACCTGTCATAGTTAATTGATATCTAATAAAGTTTTGACATGAGTTTAAAGGTTAGACAAAAGATAGATGGTGTCATACCAAGTTGTGCTGTCAGCCCATAAGTTCAATGGCTGTCGATCTGAACCTTGTTGCTAGATGCAACCTTTCTGTTTGGGATCCGTTTGATAACCGCAACCAATGGTTGAACAGTTTGGGTGCCATAATTTGAAATCGGTCACAGTCAGACGTATTCATTCGCCGTTTATCTTATCGTACATCTCAAGTTCCAGTATCCTTTCACACCCTTTCTCATCCTACCTGTTTGAGCCAAATCCTCAATGTCCAGTTTTTCTCATTACCTACACTGATACATTGCTTCAACTCTTTTATTACTCCCCTTTTCAGTCTTATCCTGTTGTGCTAATGTGCGATGGCAAGTTGGATAGACGCATGTTTGCGTTAGGATCTGTGCTGATTTTCACTAGACGACTCTATCTCACCTAGTGTGTTTCTCCGTAGATAGACGCATAAATTTTTGACGTGAAGACATTGTTTTTTTTGTTAAGTGTAAGAAATGTTTTTTTTTGACACCATTATCTGCTACTAAGATAGTAGTATAGTTACATAGAGAATAAATAGACCACGTGTTCGGATTTCCTAAGTCCATTTCGGTTTAGATGTTTACAATGTATCATCAAAAGGCATCCAACATATGCCTCTCATCGCCTTCGTTATCATTTATCAATTAGATAAATAGTTAAATCTAGCATCTTATATCTTAAAAGATCAGAATGTATAGTGCTTTCTCAGTTAACCTTGACTAGTTGCAGGTATTAGTGGTTTTGTTCATTTTGTAATACCATCGATGTTTGGTTTTAATTTACATCTACTTTATATTTTACTAGATCCTTGATCATGGGTACTTTAGATCCGTACCCCAGCTCATCAACTAGTAAATCAAAAAAATGTATGGATAATCCTATGAAATTCTCAATCAACAAGGATATAATAAAAAAAGCTGAAAATCAAGATATGAATTCGATTCAACGTATTGTCGCATATGATCATTTAGAATTTGAAACAAGTATGTTCATATTCTTGTTTTATTTTTCTATGAAGGTGTTATTGAGCAAGCTAAAAATACTTTCAAGAGAATTAATAGTCTTCAGGCCAGTGCGACGAGGGAAAGACTTTCTGCTCTTGACGATGATATAATGTATGTTTATATTGTTTATCACTGATCTCACAGGTCTGCTCAACGTGAACTAGAAAAAATGGAGCTATCACTTGACACCTTACTCGGTCAGGTGTCTACCGAAGTGTCTAATAGCAGTTTAGGAAATAGGAAAATACGTTCATTGGAATTGGAAATAGAAACAAAGGCAAGATTCATTCCCTATAGAGTGTTTATTGTTTTTTGTAGATGAAGCTTATTGACACTCTAATATCTAGGAAGTCAGCTCTGTTGACTAAACTGTCTTCTTTGGAGAAGGAAAACTTTATTTCAAATGACAACGCTTCAAGTGAGTATTTTATACAAGTTTATGCCGTTGGGAAACAATCGAACGCTTTTCGAGAAACCGTATCCCACAATACAAAAATACGAATGTATACCAAGACATGTGGTCAAAGCCTGTTCGTTTTGATTATTTTGAATATATAGTTATGATAATTTGTCCACATTACATGTGGTTCTTTTCAACGAAGGAAAAACAACTTATCTTTACGTTGAAGTGTCCAAATCAGTTGTATTCTTTCTGCCTAGAATAGTCTCTTAAATTTACGTTCTCTATAATTATCAGTAGGAGTCAAGTGAGCAACCACACTTTGGTAATACATATTTCTTTTTGGTTTGATATTTAAATGTACTTGTAGATGAGAATTTTTTGTTTATAGTGATACATTTCTCTACTACCAAATCGCAAGATTAGTTTTCGAAACCGGATTATTTTGTTGTTATTGTTGTGTCGTTATTGTGCGCTGATAATCATCATTTAGAGTTACTCGTTTTATTTTTTTGATTTAATACTAGAACCAGATGAAGATTTGTTAAGTGTGAATATCGTGAAACCACTGTCTGCAGATGATTTTGATTCTCCTGTAAAACATCTCAGTACAAAGTTATATAGAGTAAAACGTTGTGAAAACAAAGCTGTAGAACTGAAAAAGCTGTCTAAATATAAACATAATGATGATGCTGATATACATGCGTTTCAAGAACGATTGAGACGTCAAAGACGTACTGAATTATTAGAGGAGCAATTAGCTAGAGAACATGAGGTTAGTGATTTTTGTATACCTTTTTAATGAGTACATTTTACCTCATGATTTATTTATTATGCTACTAGACCATCAACCAGCTATGTAACTAATTACTAAGTGGATGGTGGAATGTTCAAAGTTTTTTTGTTCTTCAAGAAATTACTGTACAATGGAAGAATTTCCCCCCACGTAATGTTTACTAGTGATTATTGCCCATATTTGAAATTGGATTACTCTAATTCAAGAATATCGAGTAGTTATATTTTACTGATAATCTGAAGTGAAAGTTGTGATTAGAAGCGTTTTGTAGATCCTGAAATAGTAACTTGTGTTCCTGTGACCATGGTTTGTATTCTTTTAAAGGTGAGGAGCATTGTTCGGTGATAGTTCTGTCTGCATTTCCAGATTATTATTATTATTAATGTCGTGGTGATTATGAGTAATTGGTTTTGTGAGACAGTGTTAAAATGTTTTTGTTTGTGTGATTTTATGTAATAAGTATCCATTCCCTGTTTATGTACGTTAGCAAGTTGTTGTCATTACTATTTTAGTAGTTTACGTGGTCCCACACATTTTCATGTCTATATTCATTTCGATTTCGTATTTGAATTATGAATTTGTTATGACAGTCAGTTTGGGAGCTGTTATAGTTATTAACTTTTTAGCTTTCAGATATTTCTATGCGGTTTAGTAAAGCTTATTTCAATTTAATTAGATTTGTTTGAACTTGTAGTACTTTCGTCTGTTCTTATTTATGTGAGTGTATTCCTCCCTTCAAATGATGATGCATACTTGGAGCCATTGGTAACGTATGTGAAGAGTTAGATAATGGATTACAACATTGATCTTTTAACTATTAGGTCGCGGGGCCATAGATCGCCCCATATACTTTGATTTAAGGAACCAGGTCTCCCACGCAAACAGTGTGGTTAGAAGTCAAGTAAAAAAAACTATATGTCTGGAACTGAACGTTTTTGTTGTTTATTTCCACAAATACTAACATTTCTGTGTTTTTTTCGTTTAGCTAGACGTCATTTTAAGTAATGCATAACCTTAATGAGACTTACTATAATGTACGTCTTACTATTGTTCTCGAATTTCTTGAGAAAAAGATGAATTCATTTTAGGTACATCCTAGTAATCCTTCTGATGGGAAACTAGATGGTGGGTTTTGTGTTCCGAGTTCTATTTGGTCTCGATTGTTTGATTATCAACGAAAAGGTGTCAAATGGTTATGGGATCTTCATCAAAAAGGATGTGGCGGTATTATCGGAGATGAAATGGGTCTGGGAAAAACCATACAGGTTAGCTTTTGAATTTATTGTACAGATTATTTCTCATTGTCTGCTTTAGTGGTTTTGTCTATTTATCTCTTGGTAGTTCCAGTTTTTATAAGTATTATTTACGTACAGGTTCATTTTATAATAACCGAAATTTATTATATATAAGTTAGATGCCATTATATTAATGTCGCTGAATTTAATTCAGTAGATTTGAATCTGCTACCCAACATTTAATATTCGATTACGTACATTAAGAATTTAAAACATAAAAATGTACACTATGGTTTCATTTATTGAGAATTTGTTTTTACTAGAACACAAATCCTTAGGTATATATTAATCACTGGACAGTCAGTCAGTCACAAAGTAGAACTTCGTACGTACGTACATCAGTTCGAGTTGCCATACTACATTAGCACAGAGATGCAGTTGTCGATCCCATAGTGGTAGAAGTAGTAGTTGCTGCTACCTTGACGTGGTGGTCGGGCTCGCCTATCGTTATGAACCAATCGAGCTATACTGGCTGGAACGATCGTTCCTCAAGGTCCTACCATGCCAGACAGGTCGGTTGAAGAGCGGTAAGACTAAAAGCAGCAAACCCAAGGTCCGAAGGCGAAGTCGTACTGCTGACTGTACAGAGGTGTGACAGCAGTAAGGTGTTTCCTTCAAACAACTAGCATCACAATAGTGCTGCCTTCCCACAAGGAGGGGTGGGGTTAGAAAAGGTCGACCCTAAAAATGCACATTTCGTCTTATAACACGGATTTCCGTCTCCGGCGGTAAGGAACTTTGAAGAACGGAGCTAACACGTCAAAAAATCCCGCACAAAAAGGCCGTGCGTGACCAGCCTCAAGCAGTTGTCCCTTGGGCACTTCGGTCACGCTTTCAGGTCATCAAGACCACTTCTAACCCAATTTCCTTTTCAGGTACTTCTAGAAGAACCCTTCCACGGTGTGGGCAACCGGAAAGTGATATTAGCCCTCATACCCGTAACTGCACACGAGACCAAGTTGGTCACATTCAAATCCCCTCTACACCTCCTAATAACTCTCTTATCTCCTCGACTAACCCTTCTCATGTCCTTTTACCGCCTCGCACCGCTAGGGCAAACGATTCGAGTACATGGAACGTTATTCCTGGTCTCCTGAAACCACGATCTAAACTACATATAGGAACTTTTAATGTCCGAACATTGTGCCAAATAGGACAACAGGCTTCCTCAGCTAGGACTCTAGAATCTTACACCATCGATGTGTGCTGCGTCTCCGAAACGCGCATACAAGATCCGAATAGTGTCATTCATTTGACCGCACCTAATCAAAATAAAGATTCATCTCGATACACGCTTCGTGTATCTGGAAGCCCTAATGCTGCTTCCCGTGGCCTCGCTGGAGTAGGTATAGCATTAAGTCGTAGGACAGAACTAGCTCTTTTAGACTGGATCCCAGTAGACAGTCGTCTATGCGATGTCCGACTAAACGGATCAGTAAGGACTCGAAAAGATAGGGCAACTCGTCGTTGCTTCTTCGTCATCTCTGCCTACTCTCCCACTGACTGCAGCTCAGATGATATAAAAGATGAATTTTACAGACCTCCGAATAGCTAGGTGTTCTGATGTAGTAATAGTGGCTGGTTGCTTTAATGCTCAATTAGGTAAACTAAGTGAAAGGGAAAGACACCTGGGTGGATCCTTATGGTGTCGTGGCTCAAAGAACAGATAATGACGACCGTCTGTTGCATCTATGCTCAGATAACCGCCCATTTCTTGCAAATACTAACTTTAAGCATAAGGAAAAACATCTTTTGACATGGCGACCCCCGAATTCGTCCCAACGTTGGGCTCAATTCGATCACATCGCTATCAGCCACCGATGGAGGGGCTCGATAGAAGACTGTCGCTCATTCTGGAGCACATGCTTAGATTCTGATCTTGCTCTAGTGCGAGCACGTGTCTGTCTGCATCTTACTGGTCGTAGGAAAGACGCTACAAGGAAACCTCTTAGGGTTCTACTTAATGACAGGCAAGCTAAGAATATATTTCAGAAACAACTGGAAAAACAGTTAGGCAGCCATGTAAGTTGTGCTCACCCCGAAGTAGTGTGAAATGGCATCCGAATAGCTGTGGAAACAGCAGTGATATCCGCTAGTAAGGTAAACCATAACGTTAGGGGGAAACAATGGATCTCTGCAGCATCTACCGCACTGATAGATGCTCGAAAACTCATCCCATCTGGCTCTAAACATAACGAAGAGCGGAGTCAGCTTAAGCGCAGGCTGATAAGAAGCCTACGCAATGATCGCGAACAGTGGTGGTTAGCGAAAGCAAGAGAGATGGAGAAGGCAGCGGCAATATGTAACAGCACACAACTATTCAGACTTATTAAAGAAACCGGTATTATGAACCCAACTATTAGCGAAACAATCTCGGAAAAAGATGGACATATCATTCATTCTTAATCAATGGACAGAATCCAATTCCATGTTCAAATATTAAATGCGTTCATTAATAATTACTAACAATATTTTATTGAATACTATCCATTTTGTCTGTTTAAAGGTATGCATTATTATGTAATCTGTTTTTTAACTTTAACATAAAATTCATCATGGGTTAATATGTAATTCAATTGCAAAATAGTAATATTAGTAGAGCAGTATGAGTGATACCTACTTAATTTATAACGAAGTTGATATTTTATTAAGGGTAAACTTTGACTAGATTAATTTTGACCAATTTTCATTATTTTCAAGATTATTGCCTTATTAGCTGGATTGCATTATTCGAACATAGAAGATAGATCGTATCGTTTATATCTATCTACTCGTAATCTAACTTCTGAATGTCAGCAAGAGTAAGTGAATTCCTAGTAATCGATTTTCGGTGTATTCTTTCCTTCTTTTTTCACTAATCTATTCGATGATTGTGTGGTGTGTGTTACTTACATCCACATAAGTAGTATATGGTGATTATCGGGTATTGAATGTATTTCAGTGGAAGATCGATAAGGAAAGAACGAAACGAAACGCAATTGGTATGAAAATGAATAAACAATAATAATCGGAGACGATAGACTGATATTTGCAGAAGGAACGGTCAAGATTGAGACAATTGATTGATAGTTTGCAAATTAACTATTTACTATATTTTACTGAGACATTCTGTAATTGTGTGCCTAATTACATTCGATTGTCCGCACTCGTGTTCTTGTTCACTACGTAATATGTGTATTGAGCAAAAAATACTGTACATAAGCAGAGATGTATAGTGGCTAGCTGTGAAATCCAGGATACGCGATTCATCTTATTTCGATGTACTGGCAATATCGAGGCAATATGTATGGGATGCACATATGCCAAAAGTAGACTGATCAGTTGCAATCAGTGAGAAGATTCAAACAACCAGTACACAAACGAATAACTTTACATGTTAACAGTACGACTCAAGCATAGTATGGACTTTTTCTAACCATGAAATCCATGATCATTATACTCCATGCTTAATTACAAACTTGTGAAATGGTGTGTGCAAATATTTGTCAATATTAGAAAGAATAGTTTGATAGAAATTGGGTACCACTTACAGAAAAGACATTATATGTGAAAATTATATTTGAAATAATCTCAGTGATTGAAATCCAATTAATTCCTAAGTTCCGCCTAACAAACTTATCTGGACTTCTTTAGTGTAATAATTGAAATTATCAAAGATTTTGATTATTACACTAAAGAAGTCCAGATAAGTTTGTTAGGCGGAACTTAGGAATTAATTGGATTTCAATCACTGAGATGATTTCAAATATAATTTTCACATATAATGTCTTTTCTATAGGTGGCAAGATGAGTAGTACGTCTCATTTGTACTGTCAATCTAATTCACAAACAAAACGTTTTCTGATAGTTCAAAAACGAAACAGTGGTAAGCAGTTAATATTAGCCACCGTCTGATAGACAAAAATAATTGGTTTCATCGTGTTCATTGAAAATGAAGATATATTGTCTCTACATCATTATCCACATAAGTATATGGTTAGTTAGCGGAACATATTATATGATTGTGATTTAATAATCCAAAATTAATAAGTAAGAATGTTGGAAAATAAATATATTAGTCTTTATTGTACAATAATTATAAGTTAGATATTTTTTATAGGGTATTTTAATCGGGTTACTTTTTCATCTTTTACCATAATATAAAGATTTTTAGGATTAGGTCCGACTTTAATTGTTTGTCCAGCTACAGTATTAAATCAATGGATGTCAGAATTCCATTCATGGTGGCCTCCTATTCGTGTGGCCATATTGCATTCGACTGGATCCGGTTATGGAAAACCAGTAAGTGGAATCACTGTAACTTAATATAATCTGTATGTGGTAATACCTCGAAATGAAAAGTATCTAATCAATTTATATACTGCCTTATACACTTTTATATATTTTACTTTGCACCCTTTTATTAACTTAAAGTTTAAAGTACTCAAACCGTAAATATTGAAGGAAAGTTATTTTTTATGATTCCGATTTCGTAGCCTTATGGTTGTGCTTAAATTTGTGACTGGGAGTCGATTCAAAATAATTAAATCATGATGGAGTGTTGTGTTTAAAATGATTAATTGGTTAAAAAATGGTTTTAAAAGCAATGGAACGAGAAATATTACGCGATAACAGATGAGATTATCACATAATACAAAGTATTGAAAGAGAAAGTGAAATAAACGAAGAATTGTCCAGAAATATGTTTATTAAAACCACAGTTGTGGAAAAGCAAAGTAAACTTTGTAGGGTGTTTATACTTAAATATGAATAACCAACACTTTAACAATACAAAGATATTATGAACGGTTCAACGTGATTTCAAAATATTTGGATAGATATTTTGAGTGGCATTGAATTCTCTGAAACAGAAGTGGTAAAAATAGCTAAACACAATAGTTTTCAGAGCACATCGGTTAACATGGCACTGTCGATGATTATTGTACGTAATATCACAAAAAAATAAACAAAAAATTCGAGTGAATATCTCTTGCGCTTTCTTAACAATCAAGTTGTACAACAGTAGCCTAATGGGTAAAACACTTAACTTTTGGTCATTTGATTGCAGGTTCAAATCTTGCAACATTCCGATTGTATTACTAATCTTCATACAACAAATTTGTGACTCATGACGGATTGCATGAAATTTTGTTTTTGTTTGAATGATTTGTCATATTCAAATGACTAGTTTAAAGCTATGTTTATCAATCTGGATTTATGTTCTCGTTTATATTTTCATTTTAGAATAAACTTATACAAATGATAACTAATAATCCAGGAAGTGTTCTTTTAACTACGTATTCAACTTTAGTGACTTATCGTGATATGCTAACATCCCGACATTGGTCCTATGTTATACTGGATGAAGGGCATAAAATAAAGAATCCAGAAGCTGAGGCTACATTAGCTGTTAAACATGTAAGTACATTGTTCTTACATCTTCCATAAAAAAAACTAATACTAATACTCATGAATTTTTATAGTTTTCCACTCCTCATCGTTTGATTCTTTCCGGTAGTCCAATTCAAAATAATCTACGCGAATTATGGTCACTTTTTGATTTTGTGTGTCCTGGAAGATTAGGACCTTTGCCTGAATTTATGCAACAATTTTCTATACCAATTACTCAAGGAGGTTATGCTTCCGCTTCACCACTTCAGGTAATTATCCTATATTAATTAGCTTTATTGTTATTCATCTCCTCACGATGCTCCACTGCCTTGTGGATCAGATCTTTAGGTCAAAGGCTCCGGGTGTGGTCCCCTAAGAAAACCACCTGCTTCAGTCTGGGCACCTGAGCAGTATCACGGCCCTCACAAAAATCAAATAAGATTTGTGTGGCGCATATTTATTTGGTGCTTTTTGTACCAATATTTATGTGTTTAAATAAATAAATAAATAAATATTCATAACTGAATTATTTGATATAAAATTTCAGCAGTTACTGAATTTCATTTGTTTTATTCAAAATAAATGCTTAATAATCTGTTTTACAATATATTTAGTTTTCCTTTATAGGCCTGAGGTAACCGCACGTCTCATTAGACTTTTTCATCAATGTACACAATATTCTTTTCAAAACTTTCTTTTGGTGTTATTTCTTGTTTAATCTGTAAAGGTTGAAACAGCTTATCAATGTGCATGTACTTTACGAGATCTTTTAAAACCCTATCTCATTCGAAGACTTAAAGCTGATGTACAAATTCAACTGCCAGCTAAATCAGAACAAGTAAGTCTTAAATATTGCCGTATTGAGTATTGACTAGTCACTTTTTTCCCACTTTTTGCATTTGTTACACCGATACGTACAAGTTCACATTTAATAAACTGAATTTTGTTCATTCCCGGGATCTAGTCATGATACGAAAATTATCGTCACGGAACTTTCCACTTCTCAAATGTATAGATTTTATGGAGAAAAAATTTAGAATAAACAGAGATCAGTAATGGCTAGCAATGTAACCCAGGACGCTCGTTTCATTCTATTTAGGACTAGTCACATTTATATGCCTGCATCTGAGAGTTGATGGCCACTGCAGCACTCCAACCCAGTACCTTTAGCTTCAAACGCCTTCATGTTATCCACTTAGCTATTGAGTCAAGATAGCCCCTAGCTTATGCAATGGAGTGAATTTTAATTTTAGACTGTCCCATTGATGTTCTGGACTGAAATAGATCAATCTATTTTTGGCATGTGTTCATCGTCTTGAAACGAGTCTTGAACTTTTGTTCAGTTATTCACTTGAAGACGAGTTCTGGTTAGTAGGCCTAATCACTCCCATTTCAACCAGTAACCTACTAGTTAGTATCAAATCTGTTCCGCTTAACAAGATTCAAACAAACGGTCAGTACAATTAGCTCTAAATCAATTGTTGTAGCTTACATTCTGGTGCATGAAACTGCAACAAGTTGCTGATTTATTTTATTGCTGCATACTACATACCTGATGTATAATTCCGGTTATAAACATTAGTACTTATCAGAATCCAGAGATATATGTATGCTTTTTGTATAATTATCACCAAAGATTTAAAAACTGGTTATCTTATATTAATACTTGTTTAAAGATTCTTCATCAACAGTTGTTTTGATCCGACTAAACTACCGAAAGTTATTTAACTGATGATAGGTTATAATGAAAATAATTGTATGGTATTGTTGTAAATATACAGGATTCTAATTGTGTAGCCTCTGTTACCATATGTACGTCCTGAAATCCACTGTTAACCACATACTTAAATCACTTTTAAAATTTGCCACAACCTTTTTTTCACTCACTCAATCTTTTTTTTCCTGTTCAGGTTTTATTTTGCCGACTAACTGATTATCAACAAAAACTCTACCGAGAATACTTGGAGTCTCAAGTATGTAAAGATTTACTAAATGGAAAAGGCAATGTAAGCTACTAACTTTAGTGTTGCTATCTGTAATCATCACATTTTTCAAAATCATTAACAAAATATGGATTCATTAATCTCGTTGTGTTGTTTTATATCTTTTTTTTTACGTATAGTATGTTTTTTGTTGTTGACTCGGTTTTTTTCTGGTGCTGATTTTTTAAGTGTTTAGAAACTTAGACATTTACTGTATTGTAGCTGTTTATGCATTATTCAAAAGCAGGTTGTCAGTACCTATATGCTGCTCTCCAAAAAACAGCATGCTATCTTTAAAGGATATATATATATATATATATATATATATATATATATTAGTTTCCTTAGTTAAAATAACATTTTTATGCTCTTATTTATTCTACCTCACTATTACCACGTTTAGCAGAATTCCATTATCACTATTATTGTAATTATTATCATTTTGAAAAATAAGTGTATATATTTGCGATTGTCAGTCAGTCAGTCAGCTACAACGTAGGACCAACCACATTTATGCATCAGTCCAAGTTGCCATACCCCGTTAGCACAACAGGATGAACACCGAATTCATAGTAGTTAATTTAGTGGTGTTAATATATAAAAGAAAGGTTGTATATAAGGGTATAGTACAGGAAGGAAGACAGATATGGAGCAACTTTAATCTTAAGGTTTAAGGGAAGATAAAGAGTGTATACACCTACGCCATTGTGATCGATTCTGAGCCATGTCACCTAGAGTCTCCAACGACTGGTTACGATAGTCACGCGGACCACAAGCAAGTAGTCTGCATCTGCTAACATGGCTCAGACTAGAAGTTAGTGACTTCAAGCTCTGATGCCACGTTTTGGTTTGGCCACCCCTAACTCTCTTCCAACCATCCCCAACACTAGTCAGCATAGCGCGTCGTGGTAGTCGGTGTTCAGGCATACGTAACACGTGGCCCAACCATCTCAGTTGATGAAGATTCATCACCTCATCAACTGATTTACCATCATTCCCTAGTACCCTGTGTCTAACCTCACTACTACTTACCTGGTGATCCCAGCAGATGCGAGCAATATTTCTAAGACATCTGTGGTCAAATACTAGTAATTTGCGAGTATCTTCTACTCTTAATGGCCATGTTTTACAACAGTAAAGTAGAAGACAGCGAACTACTGCACAGTATACTCGTCCCTTAATTGGTAGACGGATATCTCGTCTTCGCCATAGGTGACGTAAGTTGGTAAAAGCCAACCGAGCCTTTTGAATCCGTGCTGAGATTTCGTCAGACACCAACCCATTAGGACTGATCAGACTTCCAAGATAAGTGAAGTTGTCGATGTGGCCTTTGAAAATGAATTTGTTAGAAAGAAAACTTTTCTCTGAACCAATCTTTCTCATATTTAATCTATATTATACGTCTGTTTTTTATTTTTTCATTCTTAGATTTTTCCTTCTTTAATACTATTAAGAAATTTATGCAATCATCCAGATTTAGCTACAGGTGGTCCAAGAGATAGTTGTTTTCTAAATGAAGAGTTTGAATCTGATAAACAAGGTATTGAAAATGTATGCTTATCTTATTCATGGTCACGATTTGGTTGCCCACGTAGATCCAGTAAAATGTTAGTTGTTGCTTCACTTCTTAAAAACTGGTATGATCAAGGACATAAAGTTCTGCTGTTTTCACAAAGTCGTCGTGTAAGTTGATATTTTTTTAAAGATAAACTTGATTACAGCATACACTTAATATGATATTCGTCTATATTAAACAATAATCATCCAGCTGACGGGTCCCAAATAGGACGAAACGCGCATCCTGCATTTTATTACTAACCACCATCAATCTCTGCTTAAAATAATCAATAAATTTGAAATTAATAGCACGTCATTTGGGATTAAACTTATCCATATTGTTTTTACTGAAGTATCACTAATGAATATGAGAATAGTTTGTTTTTTTGTATATTAGATTTTTCTGTTCAATTTACTTGAATTTGAATGAATTCTTGGCAGATATAGAATAATAATCGCCTTTGAATCACATTACATTTAGTTTATCTGTCAGTTTTTGTATTTGATAACCAGTAAATTGAAAATATTTACTAAATATCAGCACAATTTTTTGGTAAAAACATAAGTAATGCGTTTAATTGATGATTATTGAGTACTATATGTTCATTTAAGTTCCTACGAAATCTCTGTTCAGTCACCCTTAATATTAAACAATAACATCAACAGTCTCTATTTGGTTTGAAAATTCAATCAACCAGACCAAGTGACTCTTAGTTTCTAACAGGGAATCTTAACGCTTCAAGTGAATCTTTCTCGATTTTTTCAACCTATATTAGTAGATATGATCTGAAGGTTTACTACGAAAATGTAACAGTGAATTCATGATTGAAATAGACTGACATTTTTTAAATCGATGTTATTATCTCAATCGATTTTATTAAACAGTTGGTCTGTACTCTTTGTATTGCTGAATCTGTTTTCAATAAGTATAGTAAAAACTGTGAGTTAAATTTATTCAACCTTTTCTCCTATTCTAAACCTTGAAAATCATCTAAATTTCTTCATTATAGTTAGCCGTTGTTTGTAAATCCAAGAATACTTGTTTACAAAAGTCCGAATGAATTCTTTACATAATTTTCTGACATTTTGTGTATTTCGCGGAAAAACTGACAATGTAGATTCAATTCACACTTACCCAATATAATATGTCTGTTTTATTGTTTTTCTGTTTCGTATATAAATGATGATTTGTTTGTTTCTGTTTTTGTTCATAAGTTTCATTTTTCAGTATCTTTTCTTATTAGTCATGTAAAGCACATTTTCCCGCCTATACCTTGTATTTTTATTAGATGCTTACATTACTTGAACGTTTAGTACAGTTGATGAAGTTTTCTTATCTTAGAATGGATGGAACAACTCCTGTTAGCCAACGTCATGAACTTATTCGACGTTTCAATTATCGTTCAACATCGGATAGTGAGAAAACAGACAGGATATCAGATCATTTAGATATATTTCTATTTTTATTAACTACACGTGTTGGTGGTTTAGGTGTAAATTTAACTTCAGCTAATCGAGTACTTATCTATGACCCAGATTGGAATCCTACTACTGATCTACAAGCTCGTGAAAGAGCATGGCGTATCGGACAATCAAGAGATGTTGTTATTTATCGTTTATTGACAAGCGGTACTATTGAAGAAAAAATATATCATAGGTAAGTCTTATGACACTGTTTTGATTGAGTATATAAAATAATATTTTAAATTTTTCGTCGTAGGTTTAGTGTTGAATCATCGTTTTTAATTCTGCTTGGATTGAATAGTCAAGTGGTTATAGCTCCAGTTCCTTCGATACTACCTCCAACCACTTAGTGCACGAGATATTGTGTTGCATAGACTAATGGCCAGATTACAACTTCAAGATAGAATAAACATTAAAAAGGATCTGACATGTGTAACACTGGTCACCACACAAGTGATCAATCAATTGTAAATACATAGCTCAGTGGTAACATCTGTTACTGTGAAGCTGGGTGACACGAGATTGAATATTCCAGGGAGCACCTTGCTGACGAGTACCAAACAGCATGAAATCTGGGTCCAAGTTTTCTTGTCGACCATGTCCATCTACGACCTTATGGCTATTCCCAGCACTTGTATAGCAGAGGTGTATATTACTTTTAGGTTAGTAGACAAAACTACGTATTTAGAGCTAAATAGTTATTAGTTTTAAACATTTTCAGAAAATCTTTAATATTCATGTAAGTATTTCGATAGCTTTGCAATTTTACGACTATTAAAAGTTAAAATCGACTACCTATTATATTGAAAAAAACTATGCTTTACAGAATACCCTTTGTTGTGTTCTTAATATCCAGTAAAATTTTCTGTTGGCAGAGATTTCTAAAAGTATGTGAGAAAATTACATGTTTACTACAAACTTGTATCGTAATTCACTTTTTGTGTTGGTATAAGCATTATAAGTAGAGATGGATAGTGGCTTGCAGTGGAATCTAGGACGCTTGTTTCGTCTTATTTGGGACTCTTCAGCTAGATGTACCTGCATCCCAGAGTTGGTGTTCACTCCAGGACTCGAAACCTGTACCTTTCGCCTCAAACGCCATCGTGTTATCCAATTAGCTACTTAGTCCTGATAGCCACTATCAGGTACATCCATCTAACGAGTCCCGAATCGAATGAAACATGCGTCTTGGATTCTACTGCTAGCCACCATCCATTTCTGCTTGTCGTATCATAGTTTTCATTTGTCTAACACGGTCCCTTAATTTATTGTAATAGCTACGTATTATATAATTTAAATGAGTAATCTTGAAAAGTCTACTACATTAGTTTATGAAATGGCTGATTATTGGTCTGGATCATATAAGCGAACTTCTTTCTACTTTCTTTTCCTCACAGTTTATTATCTGATAATTGTCATTGATCATTTCTTATTCTGTTGTGTATAGTGTGAGAACTAGAAATTGTTGAGATTTTCGAGCATTAGGTTCTGTCTACACTGTTATATACGTCTTAGGTTTTGTGTTAATTGGCAAATATTCATTGTCATGGTAATCGATATTTTTTGTATCACTGTTTTTCACAAAAATGACTACGTTTTTACTACATTAAGAGAATTGTTCATCACAGTCTGTGATTTGTGTATCCTTAACTCGTACTGTAATTCCATTTGGGTATTTTATCAATAGTTTGTTGTGTTATGTTTTGAATAACTAAGTAAGAAATTTACAAATTATTTGTAATTTTTTTGGTTTTTTTCTGTTAATTTTTTTGATTTAATTTTTATTAAATAGACAAATATTCAAACAATTTCTTACTAATCGAATTCTCAAAAATCCACGTCAGCAGCGATTTTTTAAAACAAATGATCTTCAAGAATTACTAACTTTTAAAGATGAATCAGATATACAAATCCCAGAAACAGCTTTGTACTTAAAGTCTGAAGGTATGGGTCATACACTGACTAATTCATTAACCGAGAACCGATTTGATATACTTGCTAAAAAACAGAAAGATAATCCATTGCAAAGCAAATCATCACATATGAATACAGATATTAGTAGTGGTAGTGATGTTGAAGATGATGATGAGAAGGAGGAGGATGAAGGCAAAAAAGAAAAAGAAACAGAGGCTTCTGTGGATGACAATTTTACAAACACTCCGTTAAATTCTGATAAAAAAAGTAAGCGTACAGAACAACTTCGTCAACTTGCTAAAGAAATAAGCCGTCGTATAGCGGAGGAATGTTCAAACAAGGATAATCCAGTCGAATCAGTCACTAAGCAGTCTAATGAAATAACTTCAAACAAACATAATTTAAGTCGTAAACGTAAATTTGATATCAAAGGAACACGCGTGGATGGAAAAAGAATCAAACTAGTGGCAAAACAATGTAGGTATGATGTTGGTGAAGGCATGGATATCTCTATATCTCGAAATCAACTTGCTGAACCAGTCAAAGCGACAAGCAGTAATACTGAAGATGATAACTTTATTCAAAGTGTCTTAGTCAGTTCTTGTTCAAGTAGCAATTACTTATCCATTAATAAACAAGACTACTCTACAGTTTCTTCCTTTAAGGAGAAGCGATCAATGGTAGATCAAGATACGCGTGACGAAGCAAGTCGAGTTGCCAAAGAATCTCTGAAAAATATTCAGAAATTTCACAAATCCAATGAAATAAAATGTAAAGAGTCTTTTCAAGAAAATAAAGGTAGGTGTTCTGTTCTTATCTGTGAATCAAGGTTAGAAATTTGAAAAGTTTGACATAAAATGTATGCTCTGAGATGTTGATTACTAGCACTTCATGTTTCCTTGAGTTTTTCAACAATAATCTGTAAAATGAAGTACTGCACTTTGTCTAAACACGGTGGTTACTAAATTTCAGTCATATCATGAACTTTCTGGATTTATCACTTTATTCCCAGTATTAAGACAGGTAACTAGTCCTTCTTTATGAAAATATTAGCACAAAAAAGTTTCACCAGAATTAAAATTGGATTATTATTCTACCGATATCTATAAAATTATTGTGCTCCTTAAATATTAGTAAATGATTTCCTGTCAAATAACATAACTAACATTGTTATAGAAAATATTGTATGTTGGTATCAGTAGTAAAAATTTCACCATTGAGATGCTTTTCGTATAATTGCATACGTAATATCAAAATAATATAACACAGTGTCTATGGTTTATTTAAGCTTTCTAAATTTTCTTGTTTGTTATTCCACTTTATGTTGTGTAAATCTATCTATAAAAAGTAGTATTCACATGACTTTCAGTTACAATAACCTACTCGTTCCGTTAGTTTTCTACTAATATGACTTGATTGTTTTTTTATAATGAAATAAAAAGACGGAATATATCGGAACTGTATGATGTATTAGTGCTCTTTGACCGTTTCTCCAGCATAAAAATTTTATTTAGGGTTTTCGATTCTTGCGAAGATGATAATCGCTAGCCGTAAAATGCCAAGATTTGGCCTTTCGAATTCTCTGAGAGGGTTCTTTAACGCTTCAAGCTGCTGGAACGCTACCAAAAACAATATAATCAGCAGCACATTTTCTGTGTCCTTCAAGTTGACTTCCATTTTTCATATATATGAGTGCCTTAACAACGAAATATGCAATCAGATTATTTGCAATGTATATTGCACTAATGTATCACATTTCGTCTTTTCACTGGATTATGTAAATTTATCGAAGGGACGAATTGTTATTATTTTGTTGTAACAAATTAGGTGGTATGTAGATCGATACAAGAAAAAAAAGTAAGTTAAAACTGGGTAATAATTTTACATGAAATAAACAAATAAAAATTGGAGGTAAGAATATAGAAAAAAAGTGTAAAGTAAGGAGTGGTAAATAACTAAAGAGATAAAGGTCAGGTATCAAGGTTAAGCCTTTGGAAAAAGGTATGGAGAAGTACAATATTTGCAATACTATAAAAGTCAATAGACCCGGGATATCCAACTACTGATTTCACTTGTCTCAAAAGCCACTATTAGGAAGAGAACAATAAGAGTACTCACAAAACCAGTGTCAGTTTAGGTTTTTCATCGTACAATTTCTTCCAGCGTAGTAAGGGGAGAATGGCAGAGACTATGTTACAGTCACCTTCATTGATATGTTTACAAATCTATCAACTGATTTACCTCGTTGTAAATTAGACTAATGCTAATTCGCACCATACTGTATTATTCTTGGCTGATCGGTTTGCCTCAATACTTCTATCCCACTTGTTTACTGTACTATAAAAACCTTTACTATCTATCTCATGGTATTCTTTTTATACCCACTATATGATTTAGAAAGGGCAAAAAATAGAAAATCTTCAAAAATTAAATATACAAATCATCAAGATTACTATTCACTTTCTTCCAATAAATCATTAAAATTCACACGAAAAATGTCCGTAAGCAGTTCACCGATATTTCGTCAAATAACTCAAATAGTACATCATGATAAATTATTGGATGAAATGACTAATCCAAATCACATCGACTCTTCATTTAACCAATTGGCCGCGAATCGATTAGCAAATAAAGCTATTATTGCTTTAGAAGAAGAAGTCAAGCGTTGGCATCAATGTAATTTCAGATCATTTTCTCAAACTGCGGAAATAACTCAACGTAGATCAGTACTTTATCCTTTTGGTCAAGCTAAAAATCGTTTTCTTTGGAATCGAAATGAATCAACTAGTTGTGGTTATGTGAGTTTACAGTAATGAACTTTTTAAAGTTATACATTTAATTAGGCTTGTTTCTTATGATTAAAAACTAAGAATTCAGATTGGCGCTTTAATCTACGTTATTGAGACTTTTCTGTTTATTTATTATTTTATAGCTTGTAGCTAATAATTATTGTAGAATTCTTTAAAACTTGTTTTTATTTTTAATTTGGGGCATAGTAATAGATAAATTATCCATTTTATTAACTCGTATTTTCATTCCGCCGAACAAAATAAAAGCTTCGATAATAATAGAAAATTCTGATACGTTGAGTAAAATATTATGATTTATATAGTCATGGAATAAAAATCTACTATTATTTATCAGAAGGGGTTTTGTGGAGATTTTAGTAATTTTGCTAAGGAGTCCCACAATAGGACGAAACGGCCTTCCAGTGCTTCCGGGTTTTCCATAGTGGTCTAGCTTCAATTGACTCATGATCTCAACTCTATAAAATTACTATTATGTAATTAATTATAGTTTTATTAAAATAGGTTGCGAAATTTTACTGAAAAAATAAATGCTTTTCAGTTGGTTTGGTTGAATAAACATTCAGTTGAAAATTTTCAAATCATTTCAAGTTGACATGACTATTCATACGTGTGAAATTTTACATGGATGTATAAATTCATCGACTGTCTACGGATTTCTTAAGCAGTCTAAACATTTTCAGAAATTAATTAATGTTTACCATACTTTACTTGTACGCTGTTCAGTGTCAGTGTATTGTTAATGTTCCAATTCTATTTCAACTAAGCATCAAACCACACTGCTTAATCGAAAACAATAATGTTCGAAAGCTTATATATATATGGAAGATTTTTCCTAGTTTTATTTTGAATGATGCCTAATAAATGACGTAAACTAGGCCACCAGATCTAGATCGTATCGAAAAGTTTAAAATAAAAAAGTAATGGTTTGAAATTAGACTAAATTTTAATAATTGTAGAGTGATTTTTTAGAAAATAAAACAATATACTCCAAGAGTGACTTTTTTGGATAAATATGTTGTAGTAAATTCACAAAAATACGTTAGTATTGTCCAGTTCAAGAGGTTCAATTCCACATATACACAAATTAAGGGAGGCATATTTCAATCGGAAGTTCTCAGTAATTCATAGATCGTTCAACTATGAAATATGAAGTGAATATTCGATTATTTACATTTTTATTGATTTCGATATATATGACTTTTAAGTAAAGTTATTTATTTTAATTTTTAGATTCAACTTTTACAAATGTCAAGTGATTTTAATTGTTCAACTAAAAAAGCTTATAATGAAAATTCAACTAATTTACATGTTAGATTCAGTTCAGAATTACTTTTAAGTCTTATACGTTCGCGTAAAATTCTTCATCATGATCATTTACACAGTTCATCTATTACCGAATCAGTTGATTCTGTATTAAATCATTCAATGCAGCGTCTTTGTGCTGAACTTATTCGAACACTTGGTGGTTCGAATACTGTTACAAGTGAATATTTAGCAGTACATTTTAAATCCATTCTGAATGAGAACAATGATTGTGCTACAGTAAATATTCATAATAACGCTAATGTTGTACATAGAAGTATTACTTCCCGACATTTTCGCTCTTTGCTTAAACAACTTGCAATAAGGCATCGGTCAAAATGTGATCAATCTCAACTGGATTTACCTTCACGTGGTCGCTTGGATGATGTATGGACTTTGCGTGGTAAATTTCAGTCTATTGCTAGTTATCTTTTATTAAACTTGGCATCAGCGGAAAGGTTGAATCAACCAAGCAACACTGTGATATATTGACATGATATGTTCATTGCTACCTCCTACATTTGTATAGTTTATTTTAATACAGAATCTAATCTGCACACTCCTGACTTTTATTTTTAAAATATAGAATTAATAAGAATATGGTTTACTTTCACTAAAGTGTGAATATCAATTACTAGTTATCTCAAAAAATTCAGATGAACTTCTTTTATTTTTAAAACTGGAAAATTAGTAATAGAAATTTAATGTTTTTTAGTGCCTTGAAAGTCTATCCCAGAAAATATCGGTAAACCAAACTGTTAAGTCCAAACGAAGAAAAAATGCGTGGTAACTTCCAGGAGTTATTTATAGACTGTCGTCGTATATATATATATATATATATATATATATATATATATATATATAGTATAATTGCTAAGTAACTAGATAGTATAAATTTACATTCCTTTTTTCATAAGTTTCCATTTGATCCACTGAATATTGTTATATGATTTACTTTACCTAATTTATTCCTAATCTATTGGTTGACAGTCTGCTATACTCAGCCACTTTTGGTTTGACCTTTTATAATTATTATTTTTCATTTTACAGTGTGATGTGATCTCGTCTGCTTGCAAATAAACCGCGTATGTCTGAAATATACGATTCATATAGCGGAGGATTATATTTGTGTTCTGGGCTGGGTGAGAAGCTACTATACAGAAGATCAATAGAGACTGGGAGTTGATTCGAGGCCTCTAGTTCTATTTGACTCACCATTGGTTTAGCACAAAAGTTAGGTCATAGAAGTCGATATCCGGATTAGCGATTTTGTCGCGTGATATTTGACAGGCCATAAGACATAACAGGAATCAATGACGTAACCTAATGACTAGATGGAGGCCAAACAAATATATGACATTAGTTCATGAAGTCACTGATTGTTGGACTGAGACATGTAGGTAGGTGCAAACTATCTGGTTGGGGTCTGTGTATTTGTCGTAACCACTCGTTAAAGTCTTTGAGTGACATGGCTCAGAATTGTTCGTAAGAGCGCATATACATTCACTCTTTGTCTTCTCTTACATCGTAAGTTCCTAAATTTCTGGTAGTTCTTTTTTGTTTCATAAGTATGTATATTCTAAAATCGTATCTTCGATCTCTAATATATACCAGGTTCTACGTTGTGTATCAATAAATGACTGACTTCAAGTTTTCGTACTAGGATTTGATTGCTTCAGAGATCGGGTTTGGTACCTGCATTTCGAGATAGAATTAGAAGGAGAGTGTTTGAATGAATATCTGTAGTTGTTCATTGAGCTCACTGACTGTTGAATCACGAATACTGGGGTTTAATTGCTTCCAATGAATTCGTATAGAAAATTTGTTATTTTAATGTGATCTTAGTCGCTTCTTGATATGTACGGATTTTAGTTTTGCATTCTGTAAGTTAAAAATTAAAATAAATACCTTGATCTCAATGTTTTCACTTTTATAACCATCCAGAGGTTATATTTTAAATTTATCGTGAATACAGTATGTTTCAGGTTTAATCATTCTGGACTTTTCTCTCAAAGCTAAGGTATGGTGCTTGTATGAACTAATGATTCCTTTGTACTTGATAAGTGACTGATTTCAAATTGCAAATACAATACGTTCGTTTGTGATCACCTAGTTCTTCTTGGTCTAAATTGCGTTATTTCTGAGATTCCTATTTTGTATAATAATTCAAATACTTCTAATTACCATATAAGGCTTGGCGTTTTATAGATAGAGTAGATGAGTTTTGGTTGTGCCTGTTATCCGAACAAGAACCTAGATATTGTGAATGTAAGTAGTTGCTTCTAAGCTACCTCCAAAATAAAAAATGTGACTGTTTACTAAACCACACGGAACTTTGTAATGGTTGTCTAATGTCAAGAATGGTTTTTAATTATTTTTAGATTGCACTAGCGTAAAATTGAAATATCGCCTTTAAAGAAGGTAACCTTAGACCATAATGTTTTGTGCTATTTTAATTTGAGTCTCCAACGAAACAGAGAATACAGTTGGGATTGCACATATGCCTTGTTAGTAAATGTCGACACGCATAAGGACTAATATCGCATCCTTATTTCCATTTCAGCAGATTGTGTTATATTGACTGTTTTACAATATCTTAGTCTAGTCGCTTATTGGGTATAAACTAAATATCTGGTCATTACTACAGACCAGTGGCTACACAGAGATAGATTTGTCCAATAACATGTCAAAGAAATTCAGGGGGAATTTTTAAAAACAAACTAGATATTTTACAATGGGTTTATTGAACATTAGCCAAATATGTCAATGAAACTGTAATTTTCTCGAAGCACTTAATATTCAAAATGTCGATCTTATTAACTGTAATACTTTTTTAAAATTGTGTGGCAAAGTTAGCATCGTTGTACACAATCCGACTGAAATTACGCTGAGATTTGAATAATATTCAGACGGACTGTAAAGTTCTCATGTACGCTTCAGCTTGTTGTAACCATCTTGAATAATCTTCAAGTTGTTGATTTATCATGCTTTGCGGGAGGTTTTTTGGTGAATAAAGAAACTTCCCATGGTATAGTTTTGTTCTTACTGTATTCCAGTCACTAGACAGTCTGTTCCAATTAGTGACAGTATATTGTGGTTTAGATATGTCGACTATTGATAAATGTCTCACTAGGTTTTGTGATCTAGAACTGCTTATAGGAACAAAGTTTTCATTATGGTTTGTTTTAGATACTAAAGAGTTTGTACTTATGGCATTCATTTTTGTCTCTGTACAAGTGTGTTTTTCACTCCTCAATAGATAATCATCGCTAGAATGTGGTCGTTTGTTTTTTGTATTATTCGACAAATTAGAATTGTATGAAAGATATTCATTACATGTAGCTTTATTGTATAGACTAGTATCCCCATAATCCTGTTGATTAATTTCACGCGGTTCTAAAAATATGCGCAGGTCATTATCTCCCCTTAACATCCTATTCCTGCAAAAAGAGATCTTATATCTGCTATCAATATCATATAGGCGTTTTTCGATTTCATTACACCAGTTAACTAGTTCATTTTGCATTGAACATAATTTGTAACTTGCTCCTAGTACTTCCTCATGATTTTGCTCCATTTTCTTTAGTAATTTTGTCATACAGTCTGATCCTGTTTTGGTTTGAAGATGGTTATGGACTGAAATGTCGCTGTTACAGATGTCGGTATTTTTGTTATTTATTGATTCTTCCGATCGTTCGTACACCGAGTAACCTGTTAACATATTCTGATTGATTTTTGTTTTATAGCAGTTGATTGAGTTCATTTCATCTTGTGCTGTTTCAGAAAATCCATACGATTTAGCTACATTTAGTGTTTTGGATCTTATACTGTTAGTGAAGTCTTCAGAATTACTTAACAATGAAAAATTCAGGAGGTTTTCATCAACTTGACTAACCAGTGCCAATTCTGTCTGATTTTTACTGTTTTCTGTATTCTCTCTGCTTGGTATTGCTTGCAATTCACGTGGTGATTCATACTGGACACCTGTGCTTTTCCTAAATTGACCATCGCTATTTTCAGAAGGCTTAAGTTTGTTAACTAAAGGCTCATTTTCTGTGCCACTTAAGTTTTGGGAGACTGGGTGTTCATTAGAAAGCTTTAAATTGTGAATATAATTAATATTACTCCTCGAAGTACCATTGTTCTGTGTCTGGTTGCTGGTTGACTTATTATATGTTTCTATGTGGAGTAGCTTAATTCCATGACAAGCACCAAAGGACTTTTTATGGAGTGATCTTTTAAAGTACTTTTGCTTTCTATCAGTGACGTTCGTGCAGCTTTTATTTTTTCTATACTCTAATACCATATTCTTATAATAAACATCACAAGGATGGTCCCACGTAGATTGACCTGTGAAAAAATTGAAATAGTATATATCCCCATTGGTATTCATACAAGGTTTCCAACCAACCGGAAGCGGAGCTTTGATCCCTTCATATACTAAGGGATATAATTCTGGTTCTCGTTTAAGATTGATTCCCAACCATCTAGCATAACTTATGATTTCTGATTTAGTGAATCTGCAGCGTTCGTATTTTTCTTCTAATACAACTTGTCCATTAGTACAAACTGTCATGAGATTGGATTTCTTGTTTGTTTGTGACTAAATTTAATTTCTAGAAGGAAATGTGAAAATTTATCAAAAATGAGGTATGTATATTGTAGGTTTTAAATAAACATATGAAAATAAGTGCAATATAAAATCACCGTGCTGATACATTTCATTTGTTTAGTATTACCTTTCTGTGCGTCATGTTTTGTAATTTTAGTTTTCGGATATGCATACTTAAGTGTGTTGATATGAGTTAGCTAATTGGTTTCCGACTAGTATCAAACTAAATATATTAGTGACATAGTTGACCTTAAGGTTATATTACTTTAATGATATGTAAAACAGCTTCCTCTGCACTTAACTTAGGGTCGAGAAGCAGGAGAGGATACAAGAACTTTACACGGGATAGTGGTTCAATTTTAGCAGTTATATTGACTCAAATACTGGCTAGAGTTGGGGATCTGGCCATCCTCTAATCTAATTGGTCTCGGTTGCTAATTAGCACATTTTATTAGAAAGGATTAATATCCTCTTTTGATAATCGCAGATGGGTTGGTTTGGCTAAAATAGTGTCTAAGATATTAAACTCAGTTTGGTTAAGGGTCGTAGATGTTCATTATAGAAAAGCAAAGTTGGTCTCAGTTTTGGAACTAGACGCATTTATCAGATACTTATCTCTCACCAGATTCTGGAATGTAGGTGTATTCACCATCTTGATGTGAACTTTTGCTTCCTGTAGAACGATGGTTCATGGCAGTGTTTGGCATCAATAGATGTACCAAAAAAGTACAACGTGGAATCAGCTAATTATTAAATGGTACCAGGCTTATTAGCGGATTTATAACGTAACCAAATTCGAAGAACTTACGGGTCTGTGGAAACATAACGAAAAACTAATATTACTGTTTTTACCTATTTTTAATTAGGCACCGAGTGACCGACTGACGATACATATTTGTGTAAAGTGAGTTATTTATTTATTTATTTAAACGCATATATATTGGTACAAAAGGGCACCAGGTACATATGCGCCACACAAAATAATGAAAGTAGGAAGAGAAGGGATGAAAAGATAATGCGGACTGAAATGTACAACCAGAAGAATTAGTTAAGAAAGTTAGAACCACTCTTTATGTAGAATGTAAAAGAAGGTTGCAGCAGGATCGCCACTGGCTTCTATTCTGAGCCATATCCGATAACGTCTCTAGCCACTGTGTTGCACCATCTCTCGGACCCCAGCCAGGGAGTCGTGAAGGACCAACAAAAGCTAGTCCTTTGCAGCTTTCTTTCATGCCACGACACCATGTCATACACTGACCTCCTCTCCGCTTTTTCCAACCAGTCCCAGGGTCGGCAAATAATGCACGGCGTGGAAGTCTCTGGGATGACATTCGTAAAGCATGTCCAAGCCACCGAAGTCGGTGTTTCAAGATGGTGACACCAATTGAATTATCGTCTTTGCGCCCGAAGACACGATGCCGAACCTCTGCATTACTAACATGGTGATGCCACTGAATGTCAGCAATCCTTCGGAGACAACGATGATCGAACACAGAGAGACGTCTTACATCCTCAACTCGGAGAGACCATGTTTCACAAGCATAGAGTAAAACTGCTCTCACCGACACGTTGTAGATCCGACCTTTTACAGCCAGACTAACATCACGAAGGCGCCAAAGATGGCCCAGATTGGCATAAGCCGCTCTGGCTTTCATTATACGTGCATCAATCTCATCACTCACGCCACCACCAGCACTTATATAGCTACCTAGATACACGAACTTCCCAACTACTTCAATCTGCTCACCATCCAGGGTGAGTACAGGATGAGAATCCTGCCAGTCTTGTAGGAGTACTTTGCACTTGGAGGGTGCAAAGCACATGCCGTATCTGCGGACACTGATTGCCAACTGATTAAGTGCGGATTGCATGCCTTGGGCATTATCGCACAGTAAGACAATATCATCCGCATACTCGAGGTCGAGAAGTCGTTCTCCAGGCAACATATCCACACCGCCATTACTTACATCCATCAGAGCTGTTTCCAGGGTGTCGTCGATGACAAAGTTGAAGAGGAATGGTGAGATTGGGCAACCCTGCCTAACCCCACTGCTCGAATGAAACAAGGGAGAAAGGTGGTTGTATGCCCTCACTCTGCCTGGGGTGTTCGTATACAGGACCTTTAAGATGTTAATGAACTTCTCAGGCACACCCTTCTTCAATAGACAATCCCAGAGAACAGTCCTGTCCAACGAATCGAAGGCAGCCCTGATATCAAGAAACACTACGATTGTTGGCCTGCGATAAGTATGACGGTGTTCTAACATTTGGCGGAGGGTGAGGATGTGATCAATTCATCCTCGACCAGAACGAAAACCAGCCTGCTCCTCGCGAGTCAATCGTTCTCGGGTTTTAAACAACCTACGAAGAATGACAGAAGCCAATAGTTTGGACGCAATCGGAAGTAGACTTATCCCCCGATAGTTGTTACATGAACAACGTGAACCCTTTTTAAAGATAGGGACGACTATTGACTCATTCCAAGATGTTGGAACACTTTCTTGCTCCCAAACCTTTCCAAACAACGCAGTCAGTTCCTTAGCCAGAAAGTCACCACCATCTTTAAAAAGAGCCGGAGGTAAGTCATCTGGGCCAGGTGATTTGCAGCGCTTCAAGAGTTGGGGTTCCTTGCGGACTTCCGCCTCGTTTGGTGGATCAGTCGTCGCCGGCCATGGGGGGCAGGACAAACTGGTTGATGTTGCCGGAGCAACAGACCAGTTGAACTGATCTTCGAAAAATTCCGCCCATCCTCCAAGACGTCGAGAGATGTTAGTGATTGGCATCCCGTCATCCTCGTAGATTGTTTCACTCACACCAGACTTCTTGCTGCCAGTGGCCCGGATGAGTTGGAAGAGCTTTCGGCAGTTACCAGATGCAGCTGCTGCTTCCATCTCATTAGTACGCTCCGACCACCAGGCTTCCCGGTCCTTACGCAAGCTTTGCCCAATTTCACTACGTAACAGCCTTCGTTTGTGGTCAAACTCACGGTCACCCGGAGTAGACCGACGGGCTTCCATCAGTTGTAAGGAGCCAGAAGAAACCCAGTGCTTGTAAGCGGGATGTTTCGCGAAGCCGCAAGCGGCTTTACTCGCCATTTTCATGGCGTCGTGAAGATGCAACCAATGCTCATCTATACTTTTCGGTGGGATGGTAGCTAGCCTAGAAGCTAGCTCCGCTCGATACTTACTTGCAACAGATGTTGCAGCCAGTTTACTAACATCGATTCGTTGGTGGTGGTCAATCCTTTGGCCACTGAAAAGTAAGGTGAGATTGGTGCAGACCAGGGCATGATCAGACTCCAGATAGGTACTCCAAAAGGAGCGGCAGTCTTGTACACAACCACGCCAGTGGTAGCTGATCGCGATGTGATCAATCTGAGTCCAGGCTTGAGATGCAGAGGGAGAACGCCAGGTGGCACAACGGCGATGACTGTGCCGGAAGTTAGTGCTAGCCAGAATCAGGTTGTGGTCTGTGCACAGTTGCAGCAAACGGTCCCCGTTATCTGTCCTGCGACCAACAAGTCCCCATCGGCCACCTAAACGACTTATCAACCTTTTATTAAATATTTGTTAATAAGTGAAAAGAGACCCAATTAGAACGTGAATTGAAATTGTCGTAGAAGTATGTTTTAATCTTTATTGCACACATTAACCATAGGAGATGAAGCAGTCGGTTGTATCGACCACTTTACATATTTTAGATGCGCGGATTTAGGAGAGTCAGTTAGCGCAGACCGGATCGTACCACTTTTGGTGTTGGCGAGGTAGTTATTGGTCAACGAATGAGCTTATTCATCCCACAATAGTTCACTCCATATTCTTCTATGGAAGTGTGGAAGTGTCTTTGAGAGGAGTAAAATGCGTATAGTTTGCTTTACTAACTTTTAGGCCTTGGTCATGTTTTGTGCAACGGTTGAGTGAAAAATGCTGTGGTTAGTCATGGGTCACCAGATAAATATAGCAAGTTACTGAGTATTTGGTAATCAAGGTGGTTGGGATGTGCTTTATTCATGCTTAACCGACACGTCTCTTGACTTTAAATGTAGGCCGAAGTAACAAGTCACAAAACGAGTAGAGGTGTTTTTATTTTTCCGTTGGTCTTGAGTTACAGTATCCACACCATCTCATTTTTTATCTTTGAACCATATCCTTAATGCTTAGTTTTCCTTATCATAATTGCTACCATACTATTTCGTCTCTTCTATTCAATTTGATAGTTTCATTTCGTTGAGCAAATTTAGAACGACGGGTCCGGTACGGACGTATTTGTGCCAAAGTTTACGCTGATAATGTTTCTTCTGAGTTTTAAAAGCCACATATCCTGAGGATGCTAAGTCCTACTAACAATTTATATCGGAAGCACTACAATAAAGACTTTAGCATTATTTATATATTGCTCAAACACGGTTGTGTTTGAGATCCTAAATTCCTTTTATGGTTTTATACTAATGTTCTCAGAACGATCAGTTGTGAATTTACTATCGTATAAGCTAAATCACGAATAATTCTGTAAACTAATATTAAAAATTAAATTCTATTCACCAATAATAACGACTACTACTGTGCAAAAAATTATGTCACCAAACATAATCATATTTGCATCATTATATTAAATGAACAAAGCAACTGGCAGTCCTTTGCAGATGCTCTTAAATTAAGAACATCTGCAACAGCAATCTGATACTTAGTTTCCAGATAAGTGACTGCAGTCGTTGTGAAACCTGACATAGCTGTACACCTATACGTAATTCACAAACACCATAATATGAGGGAATATGTCTACCAAAATTTCAAACAGAAATGCTCAAGTATTTACATTTCCTGAAATAATGTTCTCAGAAGATGGCAGAAAATATCGTTTTCGCTTAAAAGCAAAAATGAACCAACGATTAAGAAAGTACATAGAATACACTTACAACTGATAAAAAGAAAACTTACAAAAATCAGAAATAACAGGAGAGATTA